TCCACCTCCTGGGTTCAAGCAATTCTCCTGTCTTAGCCTCCCGAGTAGCTGGGACTACAGGCGCCTGTCACCAAGCCCGGCTAATTTTTGTATTTTTAGTAGAGACGGGTTTTCACCTTGTTGGTCAGGCTGGTCTGGAACCCCTCACCTCAGGTGATCCACCCACCTTGGCCTCCCAAAGCGCTTTAAATTTTTTAACTGATTCTTGCAATAACACTTTGCTTAAAACACATGGTACAGCTATCTACAAATATTCTTTCTTCATATCCTTATTCTGCGAGCTTTTTTCTATTTAATAAAATTTTTACTTTATAACTTTTTTTTTTTTTGAGATGGAATCTCTGTCACTGGAGTGCAGTGGCACGATCTCGGCTCACTGCAACCTCCGCCTCCCTGGTTCCAGTGATTCTCCTGCCTCAGCCTCCCGACTAGCTGGGACTACAGGCACATGCCACCATGCCCAGCTAATTTTTGTATTTTTAGTGGAGACGGGGTTTCACCATGTTGGCCAGGATGGTCTTGATCTCTTGATCTTGCGATCCACCCACCTCTGCCTCCCAGTGCTTGGATTACAGGCATGAGCCACCGCACCTGGCCTTACTTTTTAGCCTTTTTAAAAAAAACTAAAACACACATTATGCTAGGCTTACACAGGGTCAGGATTATCAATGTCACTGTCTTCCACCTCCACATCTTGTCCCACCAGAAGGTCTTAAGGGGCAATAACATGTATAGAGCTGTCATCTGCGGTGATGACAGTACCTCCTGAAATACCTTCTGCAGGACCTGCCTGGGGTTGTTTTTCAGATAACTTTTTTTTTTTTTTTTGGTAATAAGTAGAACACACATACTGCAAAAATAAATAGTAAATACATAAACCAGTAATAATTTATTACCAAGTATTATGTATGGTACATAATTGTATGTACTATACTTTTATACAACTGGCAGCAGAGTATGTTTGTGTACACCAGCATCACCAGAAACACATAATTCCCTGGGCTAGGATGTTACAATGGCTACGATGTCACTAGGTGATAGGAATTTTTCAGCTCCATTATAATCTTAGGAGACCGCGATCCTATATGCAGTCCATTGTTGACCAAAACGAGGCAACATTATGCAGTGCATGACTAATGAATATGGATAATGTAGGAGTTTTGGAGGGCTGAAGTGAAACAAATTTTGTAGCTTACACACATTGCTTATCTGCTGCTCCTTTGGGATGAGGCGGCAGTTGGGCCTGCAGTTGGGCACTGTCCCCAGATCCTCCTTCAGCTTCTCAGACTCCTTGGCCAGCTATATTTTGCTCCATGATCAAGTGTCCTGGCTTTGGAAGGACATCCATGCCACCAAGGTCAGAAGCAGTGAGATCTGACCAGAGTTTCAGTCCATGTTTGTGGGTTCCAGCTTGTGCTTGTGGCTGGTTCCAGCTTATTCCTAGTGCCACCATCCCTCCCACAATCATTCACCTTTGCTTTCCAACTGCCTAAAATGAACTTCAACCTCCAGCATCAGATGCAAAGATGAAGCCTTACAAACTACTTAACCAGGTCTCACCATTGTTGATGTCACCTCTCTGTTAAAAAGTGTATCTTCTAGTGGTTCTGCTTCTCTGAATCCTGACTGATATATTAATTTTGTGGAAAGATAAATATGTTCTTAATCTACTTGATGCTTGTCTTCCAAAGTTTGGCATTTAAATGAACTTTTTTTTTTTTTTTTGAGATGGAGTCTCGCTCTGTTGCCCAGGCTGGAGTGCCTGCCTCCTGAGTTCAAGCGATTCTTCTGCCTCAGCCTCCCAAGTAGCTGGGATTACAGGTATGCACCACCACATCCAGCTAATTTTCTATTTTTATTAGAGATGGTTTCGTATTTTTATTAAGATGGTTTCACCACCATGTTGGCCAGGATGGTCTCGAACTCCTTACTTCAAGGGATCCACTCACCTCAGCCTCCCAAAGTGCTGGGATTGCAGGCGTGAGCCACTGCACCCTGCCCTAACTAGCTTTTTCTTAAAAAAGACATCATGGTACTAATTTTAGTGACAGTGCATTGCAAAAATAACCTTTAATAAATTGAGAAATCTGAGAATGATGTGAATGTGTCACTTCTATTATTTATGTAAGAACATTTTATTGGTCACCTAAAAATATTAGTCGTATCAGACTCTAAATTGCCTTAAGACTGATAAACATTGGCCGGGCACGGTGGCTCATGCCTGTAATCCCAGCACTTTGGGAGGCCGAGGTGGGCAGATCACAAGGTCAGGAGACGGAGACCATCCCGGTCAACATGGTGAAACCCTGTCTAGTAAAATTACAAAAATTAGCTGAGCATGGTGGCGCATGCCTGTAATCCCAGCTACTCAGGAGGCTGAGGCAGGGGAGTTGCTTGAACCCGGGAGACGGAGGTTTCAGTGAGCCAAGATTGCACCACTGCACTCCAGCCTGGCGACGACCATGACAGAATTAAACTCCGTCACTCACACACACACACATGACTGCTAACCATCTTCTATGATAAACCTTAAGTATATTCTAAGGAATATTCCCACTGATAAAAGAATTGTCATGGTACTCACCTGTTTGCTAACAATGTCTAAATAAATTTCACATATACTTTGACATAAAACGAAAATGAGAATAGAAACAAAACTGAGTAAAACAGGTTGAAATTTGAAATATCTACCACTCCAAAATTGTCTCATTGAGAAATTTAGAAAGGTATAATTACTACTTCCGCTAATAAAACTTTAATAGACATTCTGAATGCTTTTAAAAGTACGAGTAACAATTCCATTACACCCATATTTAATTAAAACACAACTACATGTACTTGATTAGAAAAAATAGTTCAAGCAGCACAGGAATGAAATGCATTCGTTGGTTTTGAGGCAGACTGAGGGAAAAGAAATCTCAATTCCATTTGAAAAGATGTGTACCAATCTACAAACAGCATGCATGGATCCAACCCTTCATCTAGTGCCAAATTGAAAGTGATAAATTTTGCTAGAGATAAATTTGATGTATTAATACCGTAATCTTTATGACATAAGCTGCACAATGCACACTCCAGAACCTGACTCAGTTTTAAGATGTAGCTCCAAGGTTAACAGTAATTTTTATCCTCTACCTCCTTTAATTCCTTTTCCCAAGTGCCTATTTACATTTTTCTATCTTCCATGTATAGAATTACCACTAGGAAACTTACCTAAGATTCATCTTCATGAAAACATTAAGGGCAACACAGCCTTTTCAATAAAAGGTATGCAATTTATTTTGTGCTTTTAACATTATCCCCTGCACAAATTATTAATTACACAACTTTTAAGGGCCCCATAATCAAACAGCAGCTATCATTTAATGTCCCAGGCACCAAAGGCTACATTTTAAAAACGACTGTTTTACAGATACAGATGGGGTCTTGCTGTTACCCAAGCAGGAGTGCAGTGGCATGATCATAGTTCACTGCAGCCCCAACTCCTTGGGTTCAAAGTGATCCTCCTGCCTCAACCTCCACAGTGGCTAGAACTACAGGTGTGCATCACCACACCTGGCTATTTTTTTTTTTTGTAGACAGGGTCTTGCTATGTTGCCTAGGCTGGTCCTGGGCTCAAGCGCTCCTGCCTTGGCCTCCCAAAGTGTTGGGATTACAGGCATGAGTCATAGTGCCCAGCCAACAACTTTTATATGCACTGGGAAGCCAAAAAAATTCATGACCTGCTTTATTGCAGTAGTCTGGAACGAAACCCACAATACCTCCGAGGTATGTCTGTACTTTACAAGGTAGCAATCACTTCCATTTTACCCCTAGGAAACTGAAGGTAAGGAACAGTTACCCCAGCTCTATGAAATAAAGACCAAATGCATGACTGGACTCTATCTTTCCATTTAAAAAAGCTCATTGTATAGCTACCACCTCTCATTTACTCCTAAAGAATTTAAGCAAATAAATAAGGACAAAACATTTTTTCTAACAAAAACCACTTTTATTTTTAAATCAATTTACTATCAAATACAGAACAGAACTCGGTGTGGAGGCAGTGTTTGGTTTCAACTGGTTATCTGTTAAAAGGCTTATGTCCCAGTGCAACACTACCTTTGTGCAGAAAATGTTCACTGAAAATAAATATCCTAAGAATGGATAATCTTCACTGCAGCATCTTGTCAGTGGCACTACTTTTAAAAAAATGATTCCCTTTAGAAAAGCTAGTGTATTTGTATTCAGAGATTACAAGTGAGGGAGCAGACTGTAAATGTTATTAGGTTTACCATACGTGAAATTTGTTTTTGTCTTACAAAAATGGCCATGTCACATGGTTCACCTTTTATCTACTGAAGTTTAAAACAAATGTCATTTGTGTTCAACTTTGTTTTTTAAAAATGCAGTGATTAGGACCATTATTAGAACTTCTTTTACTCACTATAGACAAAATTCCTTTTGATAAAATCTTTAAAAAGTTACTACAAACCATAAAAACAATGCTGCTTTTCTATATGGCATTTCAGTTTTTAGGTTAAAAAAAAAATTCTATTTATACTCAAAACTTGGATAAAAGCTACAATTCCAAGTCTCATTTTCCCTTAACCCCATCCACCCAAACACTACTCATTTCATAAATGAATACACTATTTAGTACTGTACAGTAAATACATATCATTGACAGCTTCTATACTACTCCAGAAAAGGCAAATATCTATATTCACCGAAAATATAAATTTGCTAAATATAGGTGGGATTTGTTTATACTAAAGTTCATTGCTTTATCCAACCCCATTCTCACACAAAAAATAAGCAGTAAAATGATACTAAGCTAAGAAAAGGACTGTTTTGGATAGAAATTAAATCATTTTTGACAATTTTGATGGCAATTATCACTACAGTGATAGACTTCCTCTTTTTACTATACTGAAACAAGTGGACAGAAAGGGAAATAATTTGTAAAATGAATGAGGTAAATGTCATACATTCAATAGTGTAAATAAATACAAATACGGTTTTACAGGAACATGAACATAAGTTTAAGGGTTTTATTATCAAAGTCTTGTAAAACAATTTCAGAAACTGTACATCAACATGGCACAGACTGTAGCCTACTTTTGTTTCTACTGCACAAAAGTGAAGCCTGACACTTCTGTAACTAAGAAAACAGTTGCCTAACTACTTTGCATATATAACATGAAATCACCGTGTGCATAAGATTACTACTGCAGTAACACAAATTTATTGGTTTTATACAACTTGAGATCAAATAAAGGTACATTATCAAGTAGATTTGTCTTATTTTAAAAGCATATGAAGGTCAACTTAAAATGCACTACCCCTTTTTTCCAACACAGAGCTTAAAACAAATTAATCAAAGAGTGGAAAATTAAAAATAAAGGCAAGAGATAAGTTTGTTTTTTTTTTTTTCCCTTTAAGATGGACTCAGGATAGGTAGATAGCTTTCACTGATGTAGATGTGGAATAAATTATTACTTCAGGAAAAAAATTCCCAAACATTGTATGAAAAAGTATACAACTCTACTTCAAAATATGCTATTTACTCACTGCCAAAGACAGTTTTATTTGAAATCTTGTTTCTGTATTTAAACCCTAATTAGCCACCAAAAAAGGTTAGTGCATAATAACCTTTCAAAGTTAAATAAAAGCCACAAAAATTTTGCCACAAGGCTTAAAGGATTATCTATTTCAAATGCTCATTTCCAGATGTAACTATAAGAATGTTAATTTCTCATGTCAACAAACAAGACCATAAGCAGATCCATCATGTTGGAGGATTTTAATGACATTTAGGATATTCTTGCCACAATAACATGCAATCAGTGCATTTCCTACATGGCCCTATTACGGTAATGAATCAAATTATAGAAATACTATAAGTGAACTTACTTAATAAAGGAGATCATACGACATAAACAATCCATGCCTGCTGTATGTAGATGCATGCAGCTTTTCATTTTTGTTATGAAGCAGCACCAGAATAGTAAAACTGCTTGGTTACTCAATCAGATTTCACCATGACAAGAATTGGTTACCTCGTACCATTTTCTAAAAGCTTTTTTGATGTAAATAACTAATATCAGTAACAGGAGCTTTATAACCATTTATAACTCAGAGCTGTATACATCTAGGTTTGAGATGAACAAATACAGCATTAAGAAATCACACAAAGGAATGACACTGATGCAGGTATACAGTTGGATTCCCACAGAGGCAATATTCAGTCACTCATATCCATGTCTTCTTCATGATGATCATCCCCATTCACTTTGGATTCTCTTAGTGAATCACCAGTTCCCTTTTCCACAGAACATTCCTTTGTTTTAGGGGAACCTGTTTCTATTGGTTTCTTCTCTTCCTTTTTCTCTTTCTCACTGTCATACCCCTGTTCTTCTTCATCATAATCCCGTGTAACCTGCTTTGCCAAGGAGAATAATACAAGTAAACTTCTCCAAAGAAAAATAACTTCTGAAAGTACCAACATCAACCCAAATATAAAAATAAATCAATTTGTAAACATACTTTTACATCTTTATCACTCTCTGATTTTCTTTCCCGGTCCTTTTCCTTATCTTTACTCTTCTTCTTCTTGCTTGTTGATCGTTCTCTTTCATCCCTACTTCTTTCTTTGTCTTTATCTTTCTTCTTCTCCTTTTTATGTCTAGAATGACAGTAAAACGTGCAGCAACAGGTTTAACTTGTTTAGATAAGCCTGACCCAACTTCACAGGATGTAAGTAGTACAGCAAAGATCCAACTTCAAAATCTTGGACCATCAAAGTACACAAGTAACATAGGCTACAAAACTAACTTGGTTACAGGACTCAAGTGTTCAATCCTTCATGGTGTTTAAGTCACAAGTCAGAAAGAGAATACATTAAAATATTCTTAGGAACTGTAACTGCTGAAAAGAAAAACTACACGACAGTTTTAAAAGGAAAAACCTCTGAAAAATACAAAAATATTTTTAAATGATTAACATTCTTACCTCCTAGGGGATGGTGACCGAGACAATTTTCTTTTAGGAGATCGAGGCTTTTTAGGAGATCTTGTTCCACTCCTGCTCCTTCGTCGTCGTCTCTCTCTAGAACCACAAATGTGTAAACTAGGTTTTAAAATACAGTGTGATCTTAAAAATGCAGACACATCATAGATGGTTCTAACAATGAAAGATGCGGCCGGGTGTAGTGGCTCACGCCTGTAATCCCAGCACTTTGGCAGGCTGAGGTGAGGGGACTGCTTGAGCCCAGGAGTTCCAGACTAGCCTGGGCAACATGGTGAAACTGTCTCTATAAAAAATACAAAAAAATTAGCCAGGTGTGGTGGTGCATGCCTGAAGTCCCAGCTACGCAGGAGGCAGAGGTAGCAAGAGCACTTGAGCCTAGGGAGGTTGAAGCTGGAGTGACTTGTGATAGGGCCACTGCACTCCAGCCTGGGCAAGAGAGAGAGACACCCTGTCTCAAAAAACAAAAAACAAAAAACAAACAAACAAAAAAACCCGATAAATGAAAGACTGTTTCACAATACTGGTATGAGCTAAACAATTAAATGAGTAATATAAACATCTGCAAAGCATGTACCTTTCCCTTTACTACCCTCAAGAAAACTCCTAATTTCTAGCAATTCTTTTAACTGCTGACAAAATGTTAGAAATAGTAAGCTTAAGAAAAAACTGATTTAACAAAACTAATGTGAGAGGGGTGACGTGTGAAGTAAACTATTACTGAAGAAGTTAGTTTTTGGTTCAAACATTCAGCGTTCAAAGTAATTACAGAATAATTCAATAATGTGATACAGAGGGTAGTTACTAATAAAATATCCCCATATTCACCTTTAAATCATTAGATGAAATTCAGAGAACTAGTTAGAGCAAAGGTAGAAACCCTACACTCTAGCAAAATTGCCCCCCCCAGTACCCCAACAACCCTGCTTTCACCAATTACTTTGAAGATATACAGCCTTCCCCTCCTTTTTACTGTGACTTAAAAAAAAATTCTGTTCTTGATTCTCGAAAGTTATTAGACTTAAAAAAACCCTGTACTTAGTTGTCTAGTTTCCAAATGAAGCTTTTTTTCTACTTATATAGCCCTCTGTGATCCCTGTCCTGGAAACAATACACATAACTGAGTATTCACTTATCAAACATTGTCACGACTGTGTACCTTATACTTTTTGCTACTGTCTTGTGTAACTGAAACTCCAAATTCTCTAGATGGAAGAAATATTTTGTATTACATTTCCGTGTCCCTCAATAGACTGTAGCACGACTACAAACACAGTGGGTATTTAATAACTCACAGAAGATGCCTTAATTTAGAGCGACCCAATAATACAGCATGAGAAGGTACTTACATTATATAAAGCAAAAGGTTTAAAAAAAAAAAAAAACAACAAACCCCTCAACAGTTTTTAAGGTAAGAAAATACATGTAGTACTTCCCATCTTTTCTATCTGTCACCTACCCCTCAGGCCTGATGTAGCATTTCCTTCTGTATTTATATTTGGTTTCGTTTTCATCCTTAAAAATTTAGTTTTTAAGAAAATTTTCATCACCCCAAAAACTTCTTAACCTTTAGCTATCACTCTAATCCTCCCTATCTCCCCAGCAATCAGTAATCTACTTGGTATCTTTATGGATTTGCCTATTCTGGGCATTTCATATAAAAGGAATCATGCAATACATGGCCTTTTATGGATGTTTCCAAGTTTCATCCATACTGTAGCATGTATCAATCTTATTTATTGCTGAAAAATATTCAGCTATATAGATATACCATTTTGTTTATCCATTTGTTAATGATATTTGAGTTAACTTTTTGGCTATTACGAATAATGTCACAAACATTCACGTAAAAGTTTCTGTGTGAACATGTTTTCGTTTTTCCCCAAGAGTACAACTGGAGGATCAAAAACCTCTTATGTTTAACATTTTTAGGAAATGCCAGACTGCTTTCTAAAACACCTGTATCAGTCTATATTCATACTAGCAATGCACAGGGTTCCAATTTCCCCACATCCTAATCAACACTTACTGTCATCTGTCAGGCTCGGCTATCATCTGTCTTTCTGATTTAAAACCATCCTGGTGACTGATGTATCTCACTGTGGTCTGGTTTGCATTTCCTTGGTGACTAATAATGTTGAACAGATTTTATGTACTTACTAGATATTTGCATATCTCCCTTGGAGAAATGGCTACAGATTCTTTGCCATTTTTAAATTGGGTTGCCTTTCTATTGCTGAGTTGTAAGAGTTCTTTATATATTCTATATTAAGTTCCTTATCAGATATATAATTTGCAAGTATTTTCTATCTAGCACTTTAGGTTTTTACTTTCTTGATAGTATCCTTTGGAATACAAATGTTTTAAATTTTGGTGAATTCCAAAAATTTGTCTTTTCTTCTGTTTCTTATGCTTTTGAAGTCATATCTAGGAAACCACCAAGCTCATGGTCTCAAAGATTCACTTTTGTTTTCTTCTGAAGGTTTTACAGTTTTGGCTCTTACAGTTAGGTCTTTTATACATTTCAGTTAAATTTTTTATATGGCATGAACCTCCTAGTGAATTTAAGTAATGTTGATGAATAAAACAGGCACTGCAGCAAAACATGTGAATGAGATCTGAAAAATGGAATGAAGTCTAGCCCTTATTAATATCATACAAATCCCAAATTAAGGATGAAAATGGGCTTTTCGTGCAGTTTGTGCAATTGAAAGTCTGCAACATTTCAATTTTCACTGACAGCTTAAAGATAGAATTAGTCTAAGAATGACACAAACCAGAATCTGCATTACTTTCCCATTAATTCAACAATCATTAAAAGGGATAGAAAAATTATCAAGTACTAACATGCAGAAGATAAATATAGCTAACTATAATAAACTTTCTTAATGGAACAATTTAGTATGGTTTAGCCATTAAAACTTAAAACTATAAAGAGAAAAACTCACCTCTGTTGAATTCCATGTTACTTCAAATATACTCTAGACCACAAAATATTAAGTAAAACGAAAAATAAACTACATTATTCTTCACAAATTGCCTTTTAAAAACTTCAATAACGGCAAAATGTAACTTTTTTCAACACTGAAATACTTATGTTCTGGAAAAGACTTCATATTCACAGCATACTGATACTGTTAGAAGCAAAGCTAAAAAATAATTGCCAAGAATTCACAATGCCACCTTACCTGCTTGCACTTCTAGAACGTCTGGCTGTGCTGTAACTTTTTGGTGGTGTTTTAGAACGTTTCTTTTCTTTGTCTTCTTTCTTTTTGTCTCTAACAAACGAACACAATTGATCAATGCATTAGAAGACTCAGCTGATGCCAATTTATATAGCACTACATACACAAGAATATAATCAGATCTAATCCCATTCTTAAAAGCATAAATGTTATTCTGACAGAAACTGTTTTAAAAATAATACTTCACATGGCATATCTGAAGTACAGTAACTTCTTTTAAAATCCTATCTTCCTAGATTTTCTCCTGAGTAGACTAAAGTAGACGATGGGTGAGAAAATAACTAGGATGTTGGCTTGAAATGTCTGGTAAACACCAATAAGTTAACTGTCTCTAGTCTCCTCAAGACTCCTTTTTCTCTCAGCTTATTACCACTTCCCCAACCCACCTCTCCTACCAGGCCAAAACCCATAGAGCACTACCAAAATCATTCATCAACATCATGAATATTCTTCCAAGACACATATCCCCCTGTCAACCTCTATCATGGATCAAACAAGCTTTTATCTTTTTCTGCTGCTATGTATTATGAACTATTCAGGGCTTATTAGAAAAATATCATTAACAGATTGTGACTATAGCCATAACTCAATTTTATTTTTTTACAGAGTCCTATAAATTTTTACTCCTCACAATATTTTTTCCCCAAGATCATTCTCCCCAAGACGCTGAGCAAAGAGTAGATAAATGATATATATTTGTTGAATGAGAAGTCTCATAACCCCCCTCTTTATTCTCTAATTTTAGGAATCAAAGTATCCCTCTCTTACTGTTCTAAGCTAATGTTTCCACTCTATATTCTCTATTTCATTTTTTTCCCCTTCTTTGGTCATCCTCGGTTCCCTCTTCATTCAGTCTTTATCATTGTTCCCTCTTCATTCAAATCTTTATCATCTAACTCCTGGATTACTCGAACAGTCCCCTAGTAGGTTCCAGTCATGCCTCCCATAAACTGATTCTGTACTCTGTCATGAATCTTTTAAAGTACAAACCTGAAAATATTAATTCCCTGTTCACCATTTTCAACCCATTCCAGTTGCCTCCTGGATCAACGGCATAGTGTGAACAACAAAGCCTTCCATGATCTGTATCATTATATTTTCCTGACCTCATTTTCTAGTCCTACTACACCAAAATACTGTTATTTCAAGAAACACCCTTCTCGACCTGAAAGCATGCCCCACGTTGAAGTCTAGTCAAATCTTTCAGAATTTAATACTCGAGTCATTCTCAAACTTCTTCCAACATCAGCAAGTAGCAATCATCATTTAACAGTTCCTCCATTGTAACTAAATCCATCACTCCTCTCCTAGCAATCAGAAAGTCCTTCAAGAAATGTTTAATTCCATTGTATAACTGTTCTATTGACCTTGTTTGATTCACTCTGTAGCACATAAGGGTTTAACAAAGATAGTAAAGCTACCCCCACTCTTGTTCTCATCAGTTGAATTTTATGCTTCCCAAGAGTAAGTTATGTTGTGTCCCCAGCTATATACTTAATGACATGATTTAACTAAATGAACAAATAATGCCAAATACAGTTGCTTCTAGAAAATTAAGATATTTTAGCAAGAGATAAAAAGCAGTTGCTAAAAAAACTAAGTGCTGTGAAACTGTATGCCTCACAACTATAAATGCTTGGGGGCATACTAATTTAAAAGTGCTTGGCTCTACACAAAAAGACTGGTTTTTGAATGTATTTTTAGATGGAAATAAAACGTTAAGGTGTTTCTTATGAAAGAAGGTAGCAGGACAGCTAACAATTCCTACTACTAAGAAATTTTACTTAGGCCCTCAGCTATAAGCTGAAGTTTCAGTTTATAATGAAGCACCAGAAAAACAAATGTCAGCCTCCTAAACTCAAATATTGACAGTTTCTTCCCCTGTCTAGCCCTATTTCCTTGCCCCCCACCCCAACCACCTCTTTTGTTACTAAGTAGCACAGTAGTGGCGATATTGGGAACCCTAAAATTTGCTTTCTCACCCAATGCTATACCTTGTTTTTGATGTGCTCCTTGACCTTCTACCTCTCTCTCTGGAATGAGATCTTCTCCGTCTTGGGCTTTTGGATCGTCGCCGACTCCTAGACTTAGAATGTGACCGCCGTCTCGATCTGCTTCTTGACCGCCTAATAATGTAAAAGGAAGCCAATACATGCGTATAAATGTAAAAAGACTATAAATTTTGTGCTTAGTATCAGACAAAAGATTCAGACATATGGACTAAACAATTAAATGGGGGATAATTCCCTTCCAGTTGCTATTATTTAGCCCATAGAACAAACACCTTCAACACCTTAGGAATTAGTAATACCTTTTAACACTTGGAATTCCTCACCTTTTAATGATTTGCTCAACTTGTCAGATAGGTCCTTCTATGCCCACTGTACTTACAACTCCAAGGTTGAAACTACTACTAGATCATGAAGGAGAATAGAAATATGACTTATTTGCATCATCTTATACAATTATATAGCATTTTAGCATGTATTTCTTATTTGATTCCTCACTACTGCAGCTTAAACCTTATCATAAATCAAATACTTATATCATACTATATATAAACTATAAATTGGTCTCATTAGTCCATAAATGCCACTATTATTCCTATTTTATAAAGAGAAACCACTTACTGTGTTGCCATCTCCTATTTCAAATTTTTTTCTTAAACAAATTCCACTCCTTTAATCCACAATTTAAGAAACTCCAGGCAATGCAGACATTTTATAAATATATACAATTTGTATAAACTGCCTCTTTTACTCTCTTTTTTCCCTGACATATCTGTTTCTCTACTCCCCACACCGAGCCCCCATCCACTGTGTCCTGACCTGGCTCTTCCAGGACGTAAGAAGCACATTTAACCTTCAGATACTGTCATCCCCCCTACTGCATTAAAATACTCATTCTCCCCTTTTTTTTTTTAAGCGATGGGATTTTGCCATGTTGCCCAGGATGGTCTCGAACTCCTGGGCTCAAGCCACTAGCCCACCTTGGCCTTCCAGAGTTGGGATTCTAGGTATTAACCGCCACACCCAGCCCATTCTCTTCTATTTTAAAAATTAAGTTGCAGTCCTTTGCTTAGTCTTGATCACTTTTACTGACCATTCAACTTCTTTCTGTGCAACATTTCAAATATAGTCTAAATTTTCTGCCTACCTTTCAAGGTATGAGAGTATGGACATCTTAAAGACTTGTGTTAAACTCTCATTTATAAGCCAGGTAACTTAAGAGTATTATCTAACCTCTCTGACCTGGTTACTTCAGCAGTCAACACCTCCATCACCAAATAGCAGTCAACATCTCCATCACCAAATGGTGGCAAAGATAGAGTCTAGCTCGGTGCCTTAGTGTAGGCACACACCAGTGACCCTTGAATAACATGAGCTTCAACGGCATGGGTCCACTTACACAGTTTTTTTTTTTTTTTTGCCACAACCAAATGTGGGTTAAAAACAGTATTCTAAGGATGAGGAACCCATGTATAGTAAGGACTGACTTTTCCTATAAGTGGATTCCAGAGGACTTGAGTATGCATGCATTCTGGTATAGGTGGATTTGTAACCAATCCCCTGCATATACGGAGGGACTGTACATTAAATATTGATGTCCTTCTTTCCTCTTACTGATGTGCTAATATAGCTTCTGTTGCCATAATTCCGTAAAACAACTGCCTCAAAACCCATAGTAATGCCTCAATAAACTATTTGAGTTATTGAACTCAACTTTAATATTTTATTTTCAGCCACATTTGGAACTATTTACTAAACAATTCCTTGCAATAACATCTCCACATCCTAAGATGTTTTTATGTACTTAACTACCCTTCCATAGGCTCCACAAAGACATGGGAAGTAAGTCTTTTCATGACTGTATTCTTGAGCAACTATCACACTGCCTGATTTAAATAAAAGGCATCAATAATATACTTTGAATGAAACAGAGGCATATAAAATATCAGAATCATAACCTTAAGAGATTAAATAGTTGTTTTTCAAGGGGAATGTACTACAGAGTCACTTTTTTACACTTACTAGTTCATATGAGCTTTTAACAGCCAGCCAAAGAGATTAGTGTAAAATATATTTAATAAAGTCAAAAAGCTTGTGAAAGTCACGATCATTTAACACACTAAGATGTGATGGTTAAGATATTACAACTGAGCTGGACTCACTGGCTTCTATCTGTCACCTCAGCACTTTGGGAGGCCGAGGTGGGTGAACAGCTCGAGCTCAGGAGTTTGAGACCAGCCTGGGCAACATGGCAAAACCCTGTCTCTTAACAACAAAAAAGGCGCAAAAATTAGCCAGCTGTGGTGGTGCATGCTTGTAGTCCCAGCTACTCAGGAGACTGAGGTGGGAGGATGGTTTCAGCTGGGGGGTGGGGGGTGTGTGTGTGTGTGTGTGTGCGTGCATGTGTGGTGGGGGTTCCCACAACTCACAACAATGATCTCTGTTACGATGTATCACGAGTATCTGGATTCAGGGATATATTTCACTTCTACTTTTCACTGGTCATAGTAAAGTAATTAATATTAAAATGAGAGTCCCAGTAAGATTTAATATAAAGAAAAAGACATAGGTTCTTTCTTTTTTCTTTTTTAAGACGGAGTCTTGCTGTCACCACGCTGGAGTGCAGTGGCGCAATCTTGGCTCACTGCAATCCCCGCCTTCCGGGTTCAAACGATTCTCCTGCCTCAGCCTCCCAAGCAGCTGGGATTACAGGTGCGTACGCCACCACTCCCAGTTATTTTTTGAATTTTTAGTAGAGATGGGGTTTCGCTATGTTGGCCAGGCTGGTGTCAATCTCCTGACCTCATGATCCACCCACCTCAGCCTCCCCAAGTGCTGAGATTACAGGCGTGAGCCACTGCACCCGGCCCAGGCTCTCCTTTTTAATAAGAGTTCGGTAAAGGGAAAGGAAACGCATATCAATCGTAGTAATCATATTATGAAGTACATCCTGTTGCAGAGGTTAAACTAAACTATGAGAGCACTGTCATGGAAGATTAAGACTGCAAAGATTGTAACTTGAAGAAAAAGGAGCTCCTCAAGGTGGAAATGGAAGATGTGGGAAAACATTAGGCAGAAAGGATCATAAGCAAAAACATGAAGACATCAAGAAAATGATATGTTGAGGCAATTAGTCCTGTAACTTTTGGAGTGGCAAATGACACGTGTAAAAAGTAAACCAGACAGAACACTAAAGAACCTGAAAGCCATTCTAAGGTTTTATCTATCACCTTATCAAGGCAATAAGGAGCTTCTCAGTATCTGTGACATGATCTATATTTGGGTTTCTGAAAGATATCTCTAAGAATGAGACAGACTAGGATAAGGTGGGTGACAGGGAATAAACACAGCATACAGGATAGATAATTCCTGTAATACTCCAAGAAATGACTTAAAATAAGAAAATGATATTAGAAGATAATAAAAACAGAGTGAAAAGGCCATCTCTGAGACAGAACAAATAAGACTTTTTAGATATTTTATGATGTAAGTGCTTTTAATAGAGATGTGACAAAGTCTAGGATTCAAGTCACACTGCTCCTTAAAAAATCCTGACAATAACTAGGAGAAATGATTTTATCTAATCCTTGGTAAAAACTAAGGGGTAACAGACACTAAGAAAAGGCAGACAACTGACAGAACTAGGTTCCAGAACAGACGAACCCAGGAGTGAAGGTTTAAGAGTCAAATGGTGACTGGCTGGGCATGGTGGCTCATGCCTATAATCCCAGCACTTTGGGAGGCCAAGGCGGGCGGATCACTTGAGGTCGGGGGTTTGAGATGAGCCTGACCAACATGGAAAAACCCCGTCTCTACTAAAAATACAAAATTAGCTGGGCGTGGTGGCACACACCTGTAATCCCAGCTACTTGGGAGGCTGAGGCAGGAGAATCGCTTGAACCCGTAGGCGGAGGTTGTGGTGAGCCAAGATTGTGCCATTGCACTCCAGGCTGGGCAACAAGAGTGAGACTCCATCTCCAAAAAAAAAAAAAAAGTCAAGTGGTGGAGGGGTATGTAAAGTGAAGCTGAAACTAGCTGAAGTAACTGACCACAATTGGAATGTTCTAGTTCTGAATGTCAACCCTAAAAGGTTCTGACTAGAACCAGAATGCAATTAGGCCAATTAGGATTGAGTTTGGAAACTAAGAAAATCGAAGAATGGCCGAAATAGTTGGTGAATAACCTAGAGCAATGGCTTTCATGTTGTCGTTTGCGCAAGTGTGGATGCTCTAAGACCCTTTTATGGGGTGCATAAAGTCAAAACTATTTTCAAAATAATAATAAATTACTGCCTTTTCCACTGTGTTGACGTTTGCAACAATGTCACAAAGGCCATAGTGGGTAGAAATACTGAACTCTTCAACACAAATCAAGGTAGGGGCTACTGAACTGCCCTAGGAGTCACTATCTTCTTCACTGGCACTTCTGTATGCACTTGTAGTAAAAGAAAAAAATAACGCCACTTTTATAAAGATGTCTTTGATGAAGCAGTAGAAGTTAATTTTATTAAATCTCCTTTGAGTACTATTAACATAGTAGCAAAATTAAATCTAGTCTCTTGAGTAAATATTCTGTGTGATGAAATGGAAAGTATGCATAAATCACTTCTGATGCTTACGAAGTATAATGGCTATATTAAAGAAGACACCTGTGTGAGTTATGAGCTGAACTAACTGCTTTTTCATTATCACCTTTGAGAATCTACAAAATGATTACTCAGACTTGTCTATTTGGCAGACAATTTTTTGAAAAATAAATGAAGTCTATTATATAAGGAAAACAGATGAGTTTGTTACAAATAATAAAAATCTGAGAAAATTAAATTTTGGAAAATGACTCCATTGTTATGAGCATGCCAGATTCCTAGTACTTGCATTTTACTGATGAGATCTAAGGTGATATTATCAGATGTCATTTTTTGATACTAGGTAACAAATACAAGTCAGTAATTTGGAAACTTGTATAATTCAATGAATCAATTATTTTTCATTTTGTTGATCAAGTTCCAATGCTTTCCTACCACCTCTGAATTTTTTGGGGTTTTAAAGTATAAATCATCTATTTCGTCTGTACCTTTTCTTACTTTATACATGTGTGAACAGACATTCACACACTCTAACAGCAGAGGTTACTAAAACACTTTAACCAGAGGCTAACAGATTAATCGCAAATTGAAAAAGATGTGACATATGTAAGCTATCTTTGTCTAAGGTATAATTGACTAAAAAGCAACCTAACCTGTGTCTAGAAGATGAGGGAGTCCTCCTCCTCCTAGAACGTGATCTTGATCTTGAATGCCTTCTTTTTTCTTCTTTCTTATCTATATTTAAAAGAAAAGGAACTCGCATTTAGAAGTCATTAAATAGGGGCCAGACGCAGTGGCTCATCCCTGTAATCACAGCACTTTGAGAGGCTGAAGTGGGAGCAGCACTTCAGTCCAGGAGTTCAAGACCAACCTGGGCGATATAGTGAGGCCTCATCTCTACAAAAAATATAAAAATTAGCTGGGCATGGTGGTGTGTGCCTGTGATCCCAGCTACCTGGGGAGGCTGAGCTGGGAGGATTGCTCGAGCCTGGAGATGCAGGGTGCAGTGAGCTGTGATTGCACCACTGCACTCCAGCCTCTGCAACAGAAACTCTAAAAATCATATCAAATAGGAAGATTAATCCCTTTCAGAAGTTATTCTAATAATTTTTCACCTAAGTTTTCAGTTTTTACATACAACCCTTGAATGTTACAAGCAACCATTTTACAACTATGATTTTGACGCTTACTGAAATACTATAAATTATAAATCATCCAAGCTTTTGGTAGATCCAAATTAGACTTCTAGTTCTCAGCTAGCTGAAGGTGCCTTTGACTATTTTACTTGCCAGACTTAAAAGGCTGTAAAATGTTTTCTGTAAAGCAATCTATAAAGAGGCTAAATTTCTCATTCTTTGGCTCTAATTTACTCTTGACAAGGTTCTAAATGAGGGGGTCCCTTTTCCATTCCTTGGTTCTTCCCAGATTCAGTATTTGGCCCCCAAATGCAGAAAGTCATGATTCACTCACTGATTTTAGTCTACTTCTGTGACAGAATCAGATTTTAGTAAGCTAGCTCGCTTCCTATTTATCTGTTCATCACTCCTCTTACCTACCAATCTTTAATTGTGTAAGTACAGAAAGGGGATCTACAACTACACATAAGGAATTTCTTAACTGGGGACATAACAAGAGAAATAAAGCCATTGTATTCTACACTCATTGACTATCATCAAAGTGAGATTGTTTCTTCCACATTTAAGTCATGTCATTAATAGGGTTCAATACATTATGAATGTCATTATCAATAATAAATTCATAAAAATATTGGTAAAAACATCAGTTCATAAACTACATTTAGTCATTTTAGTCATATGTTTTCAATAAAAACAGCAGTTAGAACACGGTGTGTAGTAAACTTTACATAGACCCTGCTGTGCTATCTAAAAGCTTCTATTGCTTGCCATGTGACTGTGGCTAATTATTTGACATTTTATTGGTTAAATAACATAACACATATAAAGCATTTGGTATCAGTTTATCCACTATTATACTTTAAAATTATTTTCCTAATACTAGGCATATTAAAAAACATTCCCATTTATTAAATGAATAAGATATTTATAAGAAAGAAAATCCAGGGCCATAGATCTAAATATATATGGGCAGATCATAACGGTATCTATTCATTTAATCTCAAAAAGGCAATCTGCAAAGAAGACAACTAATTTTCTTTAAAGGAATAACACTTTAAAGAGAAGCATTTTCACTAGGTTCTCTTGATCAATGAAAAAATTTAAAATTAGGCTATCTCAACTTAGATAAACATAAATAATTATATCAAGTATTAGATAATCCTACTGATTTTTTGGACTGGATTAACCATTGCTGTGAAAGGCTGTCCTGTTTGTTGCAGCATATCTAGCAACATGTTGGCCCTTCGCCCTCTAGATACAGTTGGCACTCCTGTGACCACCATAACTGTCTCCAAATACGTCTGAGTGGCACTCAACTATTCAATCTTTTTATCAGAATTTAGAACATTTTAAACGACTAGGGTGTCATTCCACACAATTCCACATGTGAAAGTCATTTTTGCCAAGAATCACACAACAAAACTGCATAAACATTGTTTACCTGGTTCTATAGCAGCAGAAATTAGGGACTGTGCTTCTCGTACTCTTTTCATTGCTTCCTCTATTTCTTTACTAGAGGTATCCGATTTTAGACTTGGTGAAACTAGACCAGCAGCTACATGATTCAACCTGAAACAGAATCAAGAAATGGTATCTGAAACATTTTAAAATGCACACCAGCATTTCAAATAAATAAGTATACAATACCATTTTAGCAAAATATTCCTTCAAAAAAAACGGAGCGGAGGACTCCATGATGACTTTGGTAAACTACATATAGTATAGCATTGTTTTGAATATTTACAAGTATTTGTTTTAATGACTAAGAGTCATCTGGAATTAGAAAAACACCTTTGCTGAACATCCACTGACTTTCCATAAACAAACACATTTTTAGAAATGCCAGTACAAGAAAATATGCTGATGCTAAGAACTTTTTTTCATGTAAATTAAAAATTTTTGGCCAGGTGTGGTGGCTCACGGCTGTAATCCCAGCACTTTGGGAGGCCAAGGTGGGCGGATCATGAGGTCAGAAGATCGAGATCATCCTGGCTAACATAATGACACCCTATCTCTACTCGAAATACAAAAAACTAGCCAGGCGTGGTGGCGGGTGCCTGTAGTCCCAGCTACTCGGGAGGCTGAGACAGCAGAATTGCTTGAACCCGGGAGGCAGAGCTTGCAGTGAGCTGAGATTGCGCCACTGCACCCCAGCCTGGGGGACAGAGCAAGATTCCGTCTAAAAAAACAAAAATAAAATAAATAAACAAAAAAAATTTATGACATAGTAATTTTGCGGAGGAAGAACATTACCTTTTACTCTGTAGATGGGGAGGAACTAAGGCAAAGACCAACGGCCCACCAAAATTACACATGAGATCTTGAGTGGAAAGGCTAAAGATGCCCCTTACAGGTTAACACATGTAAAAAAATATTATAGGCCAGGCACGGTGGCTCACGCCTGTGAGCCCAGCACTTTGGGAGGTCGTGGCGGGTGGATCATGAGGTCAGGAGATCGAGACCATTCTGGCTAACATGGTGCAACCTCGTCTCTACTAAAAGTACAAAAAATTAGCCGGACGTGGTGGCATGCGCCTGTAGTCCCAGCTACTCGGGAGGCTGAGGCAGAAGAATTGCTTGAATCTGGGAGGCGGAGGTTGCAGTGAGCCGAGATTGCGCCACTGCACTCCAGCTTCGGTAACAGAGCGAGACTTATCTCAAAAAAATAAAAAGAAAGAAAACAAAAGATTACAGACACCAAATTTAGTAGTTATTTGTGGGCAGAATGGGAAATGTACTAAATAATGGGTACATAGGAAGCTTCAACTGTATTGGTATTATTTTATTTTATAAGCTGGGTGATGGGTACATGCTTGGTTTTATTTTTGGATAATTTTTAACAAAAAAGGCCACTGACTACTGAAGTCGAACGATTCTGTCCTTCTTTCCATGCTCCCTCACTTACTGATAGGGGTTTTCACCAAGTTAAGGGGAAAAGGTATAAAGTTCAAATTTATTATGCCAAGAAATAACCAGTGAAAAAAACTGATGAATTTGTCACATTATCAAGTCGGAAACAATTTCTGTGACAGCATGAAGAGCACTTATTAAAAGCACTAAAAGAAAATGTTGGCTCTTAATTATATAATATGTAATACTACTTTGCTCTGGGATAGTGATTCCCTCAGCTTTACCTCTAACTCCTACTATCTTCAGGACTCAGCCTCTGATGTTCAAACTAAGTTGTCCCCTTAATAGTTCTTTTGCTATCATCCAGGTATAAGTCATTTACAATTACTATTCAAGACTCAAATGACACTAAAAGTATTTTAGAGGGGCTGGCTTACTTCTGTATTTCTCTCCTTGTTTCTAGGTAACAATATATATTGCTTGTTTTGAGAAAGGAAACTTGATAACTTTCTTATAAGCTATCAAAAAAAACTCTAGTTCTGTAGACATTCAGATATCACATCACCAATGAAAACAAAGAAAAAACCCTTACTTGGGATCAACAGTACTCATAAGCTTCAGCAACTGATCTGCAGCAAGAGACTGCAAAAAATAAAACATAAGAACAATGAGAATACATAAAACAATAACTAATATTTTCTGAGTTATGTTGAAATGCCCTGGGACAAACTGCCAAACCTACAAGTATGCTGTAGGCAGAAAACTGAACAACAGAAATCCATGCAAACTAAATGCCGTGAAACATACATTTTTTTTAGTAGCCACATTGAAAAAGAAAAAAGAAAAAAGAAAAAAGAAAAAAAAAAGAAACCGGTGACATCAGTCGCTACAGTATTGGATAGAGCAGCTTTAGCAAGTTATATAAAGATTATGAGTCTGAACAGTCTTGATATTATACAATTGTCTCCTTTAAGACTTTTTGACATAAAGAAATATGTAAAACTCAAAACAGGTTAGCCAATATAATACAAAAGATCTCTACAAAGTAAGAACTTCAGAAACAAAGGTTAGCTAAATTACAATAAAAGAAAAACTTCCATTATAGAAAAATTATAAACCACATTCCTATCTTTTCATGACTATTTACTCTGACTGTTATGACACACTGATAATGTATTGGCTTCTTGTGAACCTATTTTCTATTTTGAACTATATATAAAAAAAATCCATGAACGGATAAGGAGTTAGTCATTCAGTGACTGTTTAAAGCTCTAACAAGTTTAAATAAGAAAAAAATTACTACAATATAGCCATTAGCTCCTGCTCTTGAAATGCAAACCAACAGCAAACAGATTTTCTGTAAAAATGGGTGAAAAACTTGAAGTTGCTAAGTTATACCTGAGAGTTCAAGTTTGCTCCAGGAAGCCCAAGTGCAGCAAGGGCAGGATCAAGAGTAGGAGCCCCCAAAGCAGCCAGTGGAACAGCGCCAATCTGTGAAATGTCAAATTTTATCTATGTAAAGCTTCATTTCAGTTCCTTATACCAGGGGTTAATACTTTTTTAATGTAAAGGGTCAGATAACTTCAGTTTTCAGGCTACATGGTCTCTGGTCTCTGTACAACTACTCAGTTGTACACAAATCCATATGACTACCGCTATCGTAGCTTGAAAGCAGCGAGAGACAATAACTACATAAATGGCTGTGGTCCAATAACAATATTAATAGAAACAGGGGTCTTGCTCTCTATGACACTCATGTTCCATCCATTACAACACATTTCCCCCCTAAATCCTAGATTAAGACAAAAAGACAAAATATTTCAACATATTCTTGTGCTGATTTTAATTTTTTACTGCTTCTCAGGATCAAAATCTACTATTCTTTGCCCTGCTGTTTTGTGATACTGGAGGCAGGACCTTTATAAAGCATTTCTCCTTTGACAGCTGCCATGATATAACACTTCATTTGGAAAGAGTACTGGAAGGACACTAAGGAAGGGGCTCTTCCTGGTTCCTGTGTCCCATGATCATTCCTGTACCACCATGTCAAACCCCAGCAGCCTTCACCTCTCAGTGAGTTTCAGTATCAGCTCCTTATGCAGCTCCCCAGGGCACCCAAGAGAACTTCTTTATTAGTCATTCTTCCAAAAACAAATCTAAATTTCAGCATAGATGGGGAAAGAGGAGTCCCCTAAACTAAATGGGTTTGTGTTCCTTCTGCTTCAGCCTCAGAGGTAGTGGTTGTTTCTTATACTTGTGATTCCTGTATTCATTAGAGTTCCCCGAGTAATCTCTTATCACTAGTTAGTAATTCCTTAAATGTTCCCTGTTCAAATTACTGCAGGGTTCTGCAACCTGCTTGAATGCATAATGTAATAGACACAAACCAGGAAAGTGAGGCTGCTTTAAAACCATCTGTAGCTTTTGAAACAGCCTCACTTTCTCCACACTGTGCTACAAGTTCTCCTTGTTTCAATTTATTTAGTAAATACAAACTATCAAACTTTCTATAATTTAACTGTTTATTCAGTACAGGCAAAATGCTGTGTTAATACTACTTTAACTTACTGTCCAACATAGCTATTGCATAGCTTTATACATTAAAGGAACTTAGAAAATTACTCAGATTTGGACTGGGCGCGGTGGCTCACGCCTGCAATCCCAGCACTTTGGGAGGCCAAGGCGGGCAGATCACTTGAGGTCAAGAGTTCAAGACCAGCCTGGCCAACATGGTGAAACCCCACCCCTGCTAAAAATACAAAAATTAGCTGGGCATGGTGGCGCGCCTGTAGTCACAGCTATTTGGGAGGCTGGGGCAAAACCGCTTGAACCAGGGAGGTGGAGACTGCAGTGAGCCAACATTGTGCCATTGCACTCCGGCCTAGGTGATAGGGTGAGACTCTGTCCATCTCAAAAAAACAAAAACAAAAACAAACAAAAAACCCAACAAAAACACAAAAACCAAAAAAAAAAACAAAGAAAAAAGAAAATTACCCAGATCCTCATTTTATAGGTTAAAAAACCCCCTCAGAGTTAAGTGATAAAAGTCACACCCAAAAAGCTTAAGAACTCCTAATCTTTCATTTTATAGTTCACTTCAGTTAAGAGTCAGTCAATTATTTACACAGGCAAAATGATATACTAAAAAGAATGCTTTTATAAATTTCCAGTTGGGGCTCATCATTCACTACAATCTTTGAAACTACTGACCAGTTACAATCTCATTAATTAGAATACACCGTATTTAAAGTGTCTTTTAGTTCTAAAATGGTAAGCTTCCTACAGCATTGTCAGTGTATACACTATTGCAACCAGTTTTCTTTCATGTTCCCATATCAAACGTCACCATCAAGAATTGCCTTTGTTTTCAGGCCAAATACGTAAAAGTAACAGGAAAAGATAAAGGGGAAGGAAAAAAAAACCACGAAGAGCTCACTTGTGAAATTTGAACCTCAGTTTTCTTTCCTGGTCCAAATGAACACATTTTTAACAGAGTGTTCAGAGAAGTGTTCGTGCCTCGTGAGACGGTTCCAAAACTACTTAGGGTTATTTTGAAAGCCAATGCTAAAAGTGATATAACAGATATTTTACGATTTTCAGAATGTTCTTAAAATACAAAAGTCTAAGAGATCCTCTATACTATTTGTGATTTCGATATAGCCCTTTACAATACTGTACACATGATAATGCTATCTCAACTAGAATCTCATGAGTACCTACAAAGCTCAAATATGTTTAGCTTTATCCACAATTCTGTGTTTTCTTCCCCCTCATCTTTTAAGAATTCAATAGAACGAGTACCTGGGTAAGTGGGTTAGGAGTAGGCAGGAGTCCACCACCAGGCAGAAGACCTGCCACTGCATTAGCTGGTGCCAACAGAGACAAAGCCTTAGCTTCATCAGGAATAACTCCTGCAGAGAAACATCCTTGCATTAGAACACATTCTTTTCTAAGACAGAAAACACACAAAAACACCCAGAAAATGTCTCCCTGATACACCACCTGAGTTTGTTGAAAGTACTTATGTTCGCTAAAATACAAAGCTTGATTTCTATGATTATTTATCATTAATTTTATGTCAGAATGAACTTCAATGTGTGAAAATTTTTTCCTTTTTCTCTACAAATGGTTAAGATTCTAGAGTAAAAAAAAAATAGCACAATACACACTACTTTTTTGTTAACACTGCCAAGATTTCATCACCTGTACTCGATTTTTAAGTCATGAACCAAACGTAAGCAAGCACAGTCGGTTCTCCAGGGGTGTGCTCTCAACTTTCAAAAGCTGTTTTATGAACAACGACTCGTGTCGGCTGCTTCACTATAAAGCACACAGAAAAATCAAGATACACAAGACAAAAAAAGTTTGATTTAGGGGTTAATAATATGGTACAGTTACTATGATTTTCTTTTACACCTACCATACAAATTTTGTAAAAATTAAGAGAAGAAAGTATGTAAAGGAAATATTCTGTTGGAATCAAGCGTAGGGCTTTTGCTGACTCATGAAAATGAATATGAATGTTTCTGAAGGTCTCTGAATACACACAGGATGTGTGCATGGGAGTGAGAGAGAGAGAGAGATAGGTAAAACAACATGGCACATTCCTTACCTGTACAGTAAAATGCTTTATGTTTCGCCATGTGCCATGCTAACCATACCAAAAAATGCTGCTATATAGTGCCAGTTGAAAAGCTAACTTAGCCAAACTCCTTAATCCAAAAATGACATATATATCTGTTTTTAAAGCCTAATCTGTGTACAGATAAAATCTAAGGGTCCTAAAACAAATATTTATGTAGACAATTTAAATTCTATCCAACAGCAAAAGCCCTATACAGATGGATTAATCTGTTAATGTGCCCAAGCCCCCAAAATGAGAGTTCAATAATACAATTAAACTACATATTTGCAAATACCAGTAGTATTTCTGTAATACATATTAAGAAACTGCATCTCATCATAAAACATACAATATGTACAGGGCACTTAAGAGAAACTGGATAAGCTGCAGAAGAAAACTGTTGGGTGGTATTTTCAGCAGGGCCTGGTATATAGTTCAGGCTGAACCAGGGAAAAGAACTGTAAAACACAACAACAAAAAAGAAAAACCACTGTTAAATAAAGGTAATGGTTCCTTCCACCTATACTGAGAAGTGCCGATAATATAAACAAATGTATACTACACAGCACTGTTATCTTGCTTGTGTCAGAGCTGTCATCAATTTAGATACCAAGAGTTATGGAGGGGAAGGGGGAGAAGATCATTTAGATATAGGGCAGTAATGCATCAATATTAACAAACCTACAAAGATTATGGGATAATTTTGCATGCAAAATTATGTCTCAAGAGGATATATTCAGTAACAACATCTTACTCAAATTAGTGCATTTGCAACATTTCTGGCAAACTAAAATCCTCTTGAATTTATTGTGAGACACCTGATAGAAGATCTGCATCCATTAAAAAAAAAAAAAGTCATGCATCTGATCCTCTGATTAAAAAAAGACTATTTAAAAATAAAACTACAATTTAAAAATAGCAATGAGGCCCCTCACCAGTTAATTTTCATGCGTCAAGAGTATTTTTTTTACTGCTGCTTTGATAGAACCATGAAATACTGCATGAATGTGTAGAAATGAAAGAAAAAGAAACAGACAAAAGAAACAAACATTAACCAAGGAACCTAAAAAATCCCCAAATCCATTACTATTAAGAGTTCCTTCCAAATTAAGCTATCTTAGTTTTACCAATTAAGACTATTCCTTACCGTAGACTATGTCTACTGTTCTAAAACACTGACCAAGAGCTAACACCAAAGTGTAATAGCTAAATCTGGAGGGAATGGTATTTACTGGAGGTAACATTAATACAGCATATCATACCAGAATTAAATTCACCAACAATAGAATTCTGAATGAAATATTTCCCTAATTCTATATACTGTATATTCCTAAATATTTCACTTCCAAAAATAGGTCCAGAAAAATTACTACGGCCTGAAAATATTTATTAAAGTCATTTATATGATATACTGTATTATGTTCAGGGATTGGGAACTATAATACTTAGCCAATAAAAAATTTAAATTTACAGGCTAACCAAAATGTTTTACATATTACTCACATGATTTGACCCTTGTTCCAAGACCTATACTCTATTTTATTCATCCTGAATTTGAATTCTGTAAATTTTCTGTTGATGGTCTTATCCTACAACAGGCACACTGACATAAAAGAAATTGCTTAACCAAAACACACTAACTCAAAAATTTATCTATCTATATATTATAAAACCTTAAAACTTGGCTGATACACTTTAATATCATGGAGACAGAGGTAGTATTACATAACATGCCTTAATCCATTTACAAATATAATTTCTTTAAAAAACCAGAGGCAATTTCTCTAAGTGTTAAGGACTAGACATTTCACAACTTTTACAAAGTATGGTGTAAATGTTCACATTTGTATTCAAAGATTTCAGATAGCATTATCAAGATTCCACTTCCACTGACCAGTTTATTAAGGAAAGGGGAAAGCATTTAAATCCTGGTCAGCATATTAAATTATTAACTTAAAATCCAGCAGTTTCATCATATTTCAATGATTCGAGTAAAATTTATAGTTACCAAAAAGCAAACCAAGCAGCAGTACATTGGGAACAAACTAATTATGAAATACGCCTTAGAAAATTTTACAAAATGGTATTAAAATTTCTTGTCACAGTGGCTTTTTAGATCCAAAAAACCTGCTCATTTTTTTTCTGTCAAATTACTTTAACAGCCTAAAATGTAAAAAGAGAGAAAATGTAGTTAACAAATGGTTACACCAGGAAAACACTTGGGGCACTTGAGTGCTTGCTGGCCTTTAGTTAATGTCTAGAATCCCCTGTAGCTGCAGAGGACCCACTGTTTTTCAGGCATCTGGAAGGGTTTTGCATTTGCCTTCTCCACTACAAAAATCACACACACAAATAACAGAGAGAAGAATTTATTATTTAGAGATATTCTAGAAATATAGCAAGAATGAACAAGAAAATCTGGCATAAATAAAACACCCAGTGCCCATTTGGCACCTAAGCTACAGGAAATCTTGAACTTTCACGAAAACCAAAATCGTTGTAACCCTTGGTATACTGAAATTCAATGTGGTTTTTTTTTTTTTTCCAATTATCAATGTGAGGAAACTTTAAGAAAATAAAATCAACCTACTCATTTATTTAAAACAGAAATAACATCATGCATTTATTTGAAGGCTCTGTAAGCATACATGGAGTGAATCATTTACTCTCAGGGCTTTTTCATAAAACTCAACATTAAATTAACTAAGTAGATGTATCTCAGGGAGTTACAATAAGGGACATGGTTTTAAACAACTTAAAAATGTTTTAAAAGAAAACAAAAGGTAAATACCTTATAATAACAGACTTAATTTCTCATTTTTAGAATTAAAAAAATCTGCAAGCAAAAATTACGGACTGCAGTATAACAAGGGTTTAAAAATGTTAATAGCTTAGATTTAACATGCTACTAATGCTCACTCTATATTTACTGAGGTAGATGGTCATCTTAGGATGCCCACATAGGTAGTTAAACAAAGCACAAACCTTCTGCATATGGTACGACTATCAAAGCTCTGTCAACGAATACAGTATTTGTCAGATGCTGTGCCACAACTGCTGAGTCTGGATCATGGAACTTAACAAAGCAGACACGAGATGAGACTGGCAAAGGTGAATCACTAAAAAATAAACAACATAAAAGAGAAACAGAGTATCAGTTAAAACAAATGCTAATTCACAAACCAACACATTTCAAAAGTAAAACAGATTAAAAAAAACCTAACTGTATACTAACGTAGTTAAATTCAAAAGAAAACACTCTCAATAATATACTCTTCATTGAAATAATGTAGTGAATTGCAGTTCAGATAAAAACTTATAATCACAACTTATATTTACAGGGTATCAGGTTAAAAACAGTTTGGTACTAAAGTCTCAGAGACTGAGGGGACCACAAAATTGTCAGCAGTTTCTTTCATAATACTAATACCAGCTATTTTTAGATACAGGTAACAGTAGTTTGGGTTTAGAAACTTCCTTATGGCTTTCTCAGAGTAAGAAAGATGAACAATTTTTACGTCAGGGACAAAAGAATATCAGGAGAAAGAACATGTACTCAACAATCAATGAGTTTTCTTGAACTGCATAATACACAGGTCCCACGCCCTGCGCTCTTTCACCCACAGCATATAAGAACTCTTATGCACTATAAATAATCAAGGATTTCTGGCTTGGAGCACTTTCAGATAAAAGAAAAAATTTAGGTACACATGGAAGTAGTACTATGCTCCACTAGTGCTACCTTGTAAAGTTTCAATAAGCAAAAGGGCCAGTTCCCTCAGCAAATTACTTCCTTAGGTAAAGAAAGACAAGTGCTAAACTGCAAGCTATGGCAGTGTAGGTAAGATAGGTAACACAGGAAGCAGGGTTTTTTTCAACTGTTAAGTTACAGGGTAGTTCAAATTTCTGCCTTGAAACTCTGTGCAAGAATGCAGGGATGACTCAAGCCCATACCAAAAGTTATTTGGAAAGCTAGTGCCCTAAGGCAGAAATAAACACACCATCCCTAGTTAATACACTCTAATGTGTATTAAGAGTCATGGGGGGGGAGTTGGGGGTAATTCATACTCTTCGATCCACATCAATTAACTCACGATCTCTGATGAAGTTTGAGCTCTTTCTCCTTTAATTCTCTCTGACAATTTTATGCACCTGAGGTGCAAAACTACTTCATTGTAACGTTAATATAACACATCAAAGGACTCATTAATGAAAAGGAAAATCCTATTTTAACACTATCTGAATGAGGCTTCAGTTTCTAATAAATGAAACACTCATGTGTACATAAAATTGTAATTGTATCAGATTTGGTTATACTAAGAATTTCAGATTCATTGTTGAAAAGAAAAATAATTTATTTTAGGCCTAACAAAAAACCCCACAATTTTTATCACAACTCAAACACTAACAACATGATGCTATACATGGCCTGAGAACTCAAACCCATTACAACTTCTGATACAAGTTTCCCTACAAGGATCTCCCAGGCTAAGCACAGACCCTAACCCAAGATCAAAGCAAAATTAACAGGGTATCCACAAGCAAGTTAAGCTACCTTGTTATATAGGCTCACTGTTGAATGTTTCTTAAAGAATACAGTGGTTTTTAGATGTGAAACACTGCTGGTATAAAATTTAACAATGTTGCACCTGCAGTAGTAAAAAGAATGTTTTAGCAATTTCTCCTTAAATAGGAGGGGTCTTACTATGTTGACCAGCCTCCCACTCCAGCTTCCAAAATAGATGGGGCTGCAGGTGTGCCTCACTGTCAAGTACTTTAGCAGGTTTAGTAAGCTATGGCACTTCACATTTCTTTGCTGACATCCATGTTTCCATCACTAAATTACAAGGCTCTTTTAATGCTATCATCTCTAATCTTAACACCCAACACGATAGTGTTGGGAAATAGCGGGCACTTAACACTTCTTAAAAACTAGCCTCTACCAACAATTCTTTAACACTTTTTATTGTTATCTTATGAAAAGAAATGACTCCAAATATGATATTTTTAATGAACAGTTCCTTAGGAAAAAAAATACTGCCCCCGTGCTCAAATTGTATTCTTTATACTTGGCAACCTTAAAGGGCCTCATATTTTTTTTCCTACCCATTAATATCATAGGAATGCTCCAATTATTTTGGCTATATCAAAACCTGTTAAGAGATGGTACGGTATAGACTAAATATGAATTTGAATACTATGAATAAGATAGTAATTCAGAAAGGAAAATATAATTTCATCTCTCTCCACTTCAAATGGCCTCCTTTAGATGGATTTAAAACAAGTTTCTGTTAGTATATGGGCCCAGAATTACATTCTTAATTAAAATTTTTTTTTTTTTTTTTTTTTGAGATGGAGTTTCACTCTTGTAGCCCAGGCTGGAGTGCAATGGCACAATCTCGGCTCACTGCAACCTCCGCCTCCCAGGTTCGAGTAATTCTCCTGCCTCAGCCTCCCGAGTAGCTGGGATTACACGCATGCGCCACCACATCTGGCTAATTTTTGTATTTTTAGCAGAGACGTGGTTTCATCATTTAGTCAGGCTAGTCTTGAACTCCTGACCTCATGTGATCCACCTGCCTCTGCCTCCTAATAAAATTTATCTTAGTAAGATAATATAAGATAGAGGACTGATGCCTGAAATTAATTTCTGTGCTCTAAAATTCTGTGGAAGTACTGCTTCCAAATATGACATGTATTTTACTCTGTATCTCTTAAAAATTAATATAAAGTAGGGAGAAATGAGGAACAAGATAGGTAAAGTGAGTCCTGCATGCCACTTCTGTCCTCCAAGACTGGCTGTACAGTTTTTAACAGTTCTTACGTGTCCTCTGAGGGCTATTTCAGAATCTTCTAGGCTATACACAGAAAACCGAGATTTCTGTTGTTCACCTAAGGTCTGTAGAGAATCTTTTGTATGTGAAGGCTCAGATTCTTAACATGGTATTCATGCCTACTAACATACCAGAATTTCAGGTTTAGGCCACTGATATCAGCCTTTCAACTTCCACCTTAATAGTGTGCTAAGTGGAGAATTTTGAGCTCATAAATGAAAGTATCTCCAAAACCCACAAAAGGAGGTGTGTGACAAAGAGGACATTAACCTGAAAACTTGACTGTTGACCTCACGTGCCCCCTCCTCACTACATAAAGAAATGTACAGTAAAATGGTGCATTTATTAAAACCATTTTTTCTTTAAAGATGCACTAAACTCTTTCCCTTACCTAATATACTAATTTATACTTATATGACCATTAAAGTATCCATTTTGGGTCACTGAAAAGTTACTAATGAACTTCAATTTATCTTGGTATTACAGCAGCCTTAAGTTACTGCATAGCTGTGACATACTTCACTGGGATCATTACCTGATACCTGATAAGCACTTTGCTGGGCAATCCCACTAAAAGAAAGCATGTGAAGACCTTACAAGTTACTTGGCTAAATCAACAAACTCCTGATCAAGTGGTAAAGGAGAGTCACAACTTGGGTTCGAGGTCTAGTTCTGACACTGGCAGTATGGCCTGGGCATACAAAAAATACCTATGTAAATTTCAGTTCACGAACTTGTAAAACAGGGTCAAAAACATTTTTTCCTCTGGGTTTGTAAGGATTAAGATAAATTTAGAAAGCAAGTAACTCACAATAGACATTCAAACAATGCTGCATTTCCAATACACATTTCAGAAACAACCAGAATCAAAACAGTTTAACAAGAGTATATGTGGGGTACACTGACAGATGCTTTCAAATAGCTGCAGAGCCATCATGCTGTAGAGAGGGTTAGAATATCCCCTATTGTAAAGATAGCATCTTTATTTCTCAGTGAAATTATAGGCCAGAAATTCTGGTTTAAAAGAAGGAATAGATGGATTTAACAATGACAATGCAGGAAATCACCTTGAGCAGGTTGTCACTGAAATGTCTGTCATAATCCTGGAAATGTTTCCCCAAAATAGGCATTCAGAACCAAAATGAAGTGTTTCAGTAGGTGTGGGTGAGGTTCAGTCATATATGTGTTTTAAAGCACCTCATATTCTACAGGAGAGAAGTTGTTAAACTTAACCTGTCAACTGGTGACAGGTGTTACAGAAAAAAAGTAGTGTTAAGTAGAATAAAGCAGCAGCAGAGGTGCTTTATTTTACACAGGATGGTCTGGGAAGGTTTCTCTGATTAAAGTGACATTGGAAAAACAAAAGTAGTTAAGCATGTCACAGATATGTCTAGGGGAAAAAGAGTTACAGGTGCATGTCACCGCCTTCTTGGGGGAAATCACAGTTTTCCCTCAGTATCCATGGTTTCAGTACCCCCTGCAGATAACAAATTCCAGATGCTCAAGTCTCTTATATAAAATGATGTAGGGAGGGGGAAGATGTGGAGGAAAAATAAAATCATGGCGTATTACCTGTGCACATCCTCTTGTATACTTCAAATCTCTTGATTACTTATAATACCTAATACAATGTAAATACTTGTACTGTTTAGGGAGTGACGACAAGAAAAAAGTCTGTACATGTTCAGTACAGACGCTCTCTCCTATTTTCAATTCACAGTGGGCTGAATCCATGGATGTGGAACCCAGAGATGAAGAAGGCCAACTGTGTATCGATATTAGTTACAATCAGGTGACCTGTTCACAACAGACATAATTTTATGTAATCTGAGCCATTCAATGTTACGAGTAAATATTTTTGGAATGATGAACCCTGTGGACCACTGGGAATCCACAGCACATTATCCCTGGCAAGTTTACTGTTGAAAGCTCTACTAAGTTGATAGAAACTACCAACAAAGTATATGCAACTTGTGCAAGTCAGATTAGTTCATTGAAACTTATAGTTAAAAAAATCAAAATGCAACATCAAGTAAATAAAAGTAGCCATCTACATTACTGATCAAATGTAGATTCCCACTAGTAACATTTAACTTATTGTAACCTCCTACATTTTAAAAGACAAAATGATCTTGTATGTGGAAAGACAAATGAAGGAGTCAGAGTAAAAATGTGTCAATTTATCTCTCTTTCTCTCAATACGGGGAAAGGAGTCCTTTTAATGCAGAGTATCCAGATCATATAGTTTAGGGAGAAATTCTCAAGCACACACTAGCTGTCCTGGTTATGAAGGAACTACTCGTTTGATTACAAAACAGAAAGACTCTGGTCCATCACAACTTCCTCTAAGATACTGGTCATGCATTAGGTAAAAGATGAACCAGTATAATGCCTACATCTCTCTCATCTTTTTTCTAAATGCATCATAAAACTGCCTTCAGAGAATAAACAGCATTTAAAAGTCAGCAACTATAATAAAATTCTTGTAGGATTGGAAAGAATTGTCATAAATCGAATACTTCAAATATCCCACTAATAAAACGATTAAAATCATCCAATGTATCAGTATTTTCTGCTATTTTACTGTTAATTTTACAAGCTTAAAACAGTAAGTCTTGAGAAAACTGAACAACAGCATCTATTTTTGTATGTTCATATTATGAAAGCTGTTTGTCCTTCATTACCAAATCAAGTATCTATCAAAATAACAGGAATAAAAACATATGTGTTTGTTCCCAGAACTCCATGGCATGCTATACTAAGTAAATCTTCTCTCCACATGTACATTTCCCTAAAAATTAGCAACATACCAATTTGAAAACACCAACAATCTTCAAAAGTATTTTAAGTGGAAAGTGATGAAATATGTTAATACTTAACAAATATCTCATTATGATAAACTTTTGTCAATTATTTTATTGAGCAGAAAGTTAATGATTACCTGTACCGTAACAGTAGATTCTTAGAGAATTCCAATTTCCTGTTTAGTATTTAAGTGACATCCTAAAATTCTCAATATATGGTGTTTACTGAAAATGACACTTGAATTGTCACTTCTCCGCCAGTAAGTCTTCCAAAAAGCACAAGACTATTATTTTCATTCCAATTGTCTGTTTTAAAAGTACACCTTATCTTACTTCATAGCTTAACTATTTTTTCTTTACAATTAATCCATTTATTTAATATTCTTGCGATAGAAATAATTTTCAAAATAAAAGTGAAACGAAAGGATAAAAAGTCATACACTCTAATTCACATTTCAACATTTATAAAAATTCTTCTCAAGAACTGTGAAATATCACAAATCTGTGTATTATTCAAACAAAGGAAAATCTCTGGTTTCAGATATAACCCGTTTTTTGACATTATAAAAATTAAGTAATCAGGCTCACTAAAGTAAGCGTCTGTCAAAAAGAATAAGATCTTTGAATTATATTGCTGGGCCAGAACCACATAACAGGAAGAGCAGTAAGGGACCAACAACCTACAAAGTTCAACACTAAATTAACACAGGCATGAATAATTTTGTTTTCTTTCTTCCAAGAACGCAAAGAAAAAACACTCAGTTTTTTTAAAAGGGGATTTAACCTATATACGCGTACAGAGTGCAGTTAGTCTTGTGTTAAGCCCGCAAAGCCAAACGACCACGTTGGCACAATTTAAGGCAGAAAAAAAAAATTCCCGAGAATAAGAGTCAGAGTTTCCTAATCCCAAAATGCCCTGGCCCTGCCTCTCTACATTTTTTTGCAGGCCTGGAACACAACCGTCTTAAGTAAATGCAACAGCCACCAGCCACTCAAGCAGCCTGGCCCGGGGAAGCAGCGACAGAGGCCTAAGGAAATTGTGTGTGTGTTAGGCCTAGGCTGAGGCGGCCTTAGCAGGAACAGTGATGGTGGACGATACTCACTCCGGCGGGAAGAGGCGCAGTTCGTCGATCTTGCCTAGGAAACCGAAGAGAGTCCGCATCTGCTCAGAGCTAGCGCTCGGGGAGACATTAGTCACCTGGATTACCTCGGTGCCGCCGCCTCCGCCGCCACCACCTCCGCCACCGGGCCCGCCGCTGGGGCCCGGACCTGCAGTGCTGGGGACGACGGTAGTGTTGCTCATGGCGCTGCTCGGGTTCTCGCTCCTGCTTTAACACATCAAACACACAACAAACAGTGAGAAGGAGGGGGAAGAGGAACCGGTTCGCGGGAGAGAGGAGGGTGTCCGATGCTACAGCCTCTGCTTCTGCTGCCGTTGCCGCCGCCGCCGCCGTTACTCCGCCCCGCTGCACGCCGCGGGGGAGGGGAAGAGAGCGCGCGAGCTCGAGACCACGAGAAAACAAACGGCCACCCCCCTTGCCTCCAACTACAGCGCTAGCGGGCCCGAGCTCCCACAATGCCTTGCGGCGCAAGGCGCGTCAGCGTCGCTTCTACCCCGCGCAGGCCCAGCAACCCTCGCCCGCAGCCCGAAAAATGTGAGGCACCGCGGTCTAGAGAAAGGCGTTATCCACCTTCGTCTCTCGTTTTTTTCTTTTTCTTTGGAAGAGAGAAGAGGCACGTATAAACTTTTGTTTTTAAAAAAACATTCATCCCCCTGCAAAAAGTCACTTCAGCAACCATTCTTACTAAATGCTGCGCACGATATGTCTTCATATACTGATAATCATCTACAGATCTATCCAATTACTAATGATATTTAAACCCAAGCTAAGATGCCACCCCACCACCACCACTATAAAATGTCCCGGAATCTTAAATGTATCATGAATTTCGGTAACATTAAATCTGTAACCAATTTGTTTTGTCACAAACTTTTAGAAAGGATACATTTTAATATTACTAATAAGCGTTTTGTACATTTATTCACAATGAATGACTTTTTTTGAGTGACTTTTCTTTTTCTGGTCGCCCTGTCGCCGAGGCTGCAGTGCAGTGGCACCATCTTGGCTCACTGCGACCTCCGCTTCCTGTGTTGAAGCCATTCTCCTACCTCGGCCTCGTGAGTAGCTGGGATTACAGGCGCCTGCCATGACGCCCGGCTAAGTTTTGCATTTTTAGTAGACATGGGGTTTCACCATGTTGGCCAGGCTGGTCTCCAACTCCTGACCTCTGCAGATCCACCCGCCTTGGCCTCCCAAAGTGCTGGGATTACAGGCGCGTGAGCCACTGTGCCCAGTCAATTTCACAATAGCTGACTTTTTGGAAACACAGTTTACAGTACTTAAATATATTCAACTATATATTTCTAAAGAAAATACTGCAATTTCTCAAGAAAAACTTGTTTCACATACATATTCTTGCTTAAAATAATTTTGAAGCTTTTGACTATTAAAAAAATCCTTGCTTTAGTTTTCAACCTCATCTGAACTATTCTCTCAACTGCATCCAGCGTGTAGTCCAGTGACTTGTAGTGCCCCAAACATGACAAAAACCATAATATCTCTGTGCCTATATACCGGGTATTAATAACATCATTCATCTGTCATCTTCTGTAGAGCATTCCTTCCCTTACTGCTATGACTTCTGCAAGCTGTTAAGGCTTCCTCTTTTCTGCTACGTAACAGAAGATACATATATTTATTACTGACATGTATCACTCAAAGTTGTGAGCTTCCTGGGTCAGTCCAGAACCTGGCACAATGTCTGTCACACAGTCAGTCCCAATACATGTGCTGGACACATGCACAAACATACCTTAATGACAATGTCATTTAAGACAGTTCACTAAATAATTTACTTGACCTTGAATGTTTTTAGAGGTAAAACTTTTAGAGGTTTTAGAGGTAAAAACAACTTGAAGCCTTACATTAGTGAATACTTCTTGGCACAGTGCAGTCAAGATGCAATATGTGAGAGATTAGAGCACAAGGTTATTGAGATTTGGATGTAGAGCCAACTGGCTAAGTGACTTTCACTAGTGCTTATACAGAAAATGGATGGATGGATTGAATGTGAGCCTCAGCAAAATTACAAATTATGGCCTTCATAGAAACCAACTAGCATTAGCTAGAGCCAAGACTTTTCAGAATTTTAAAGAAAAGCATATAGTTGTCCCTCAGTATCTGTGGAGGATTGGTTCCAGGACCCTCCCACAAATACCAGAACCAGAGGGTGCTCAAATCCCCTATATAAAATGGTATTGTGTAACAGTGCATTTGATCTGTATCCATGGGCTCCATGTATGTGGATTCAACCAACCTGGGACTGAAAATATTTGGGAAAAAATTGATGGTCTAAACATGTACAGACTTTTTATTTCTTGTCTAACAACTATTTACACAGCTCTTACATTGTATAATTATTAGTATAGAGATGATTTAAAATATTTGGGAGGATGTGCACAGATTATATGCACACACTATACTATTTTACATAAAGAATTTGAGCATCTGTGTATTTTGGTATCCTCTGGGTCCTGTTATCAATTCCCCATGAATACTCACCTCAGGACTGGTACGACTGTATTTGCACATAATGTAAGCACATACTCTCATACTCTTGAGTAACCCTTATCTAAAATGCTTGGGACCATAAGTGTTTTGGATTTTTAAAAAACATTTTGGAATATCTGCATTATATTTACTGATTTAGCATCCCTAATCCTAACATTTAAAATCTGAAATGCTCCAATAAGCATTTACTTTGTGTCACGTCAGTGCTCATAAAGTTTCAGATTTTTGAGCATTTTGGATTTTGGTTTTTTGGATTAGGGATACTCAACCTTTCATACTGAATACAATGTAAATGTTATGTAAATAGTTGTTATACTGCATTTCTAAAAACTTTTATTTTTAATGTCATTATTTTATATTTTTTGAATATTTTTGATAGGGGTTGGCTAAACCCAAGTATGTGGAACACATGGTATGGAGGCTGATTGTACAACTAACTGCAAGTCACTCATAAATATCTGTGAATACAAAGAATGGTAATTCATTTTCTCATTCTGAATCAGACATATGTAACTGCCAGTTACAGATTCTTAAATAGTTTAACATTTATTGTGAGTGCCTACTATATGCCACGCATGCTAAAATATTTGATGATAAAAGGACAAATAACAGAAGGTCAGGGTTCATGCCTTTTTTTTTTTTCCTTAAATGTTAACACTTATTTATTCTCTGTGATGGGTACACATAAATCTTTTATATGACTCTACATTTTTCTGTATGTTGGACACATTTCATAATTAAAATTACAAATTCAAACCAAAGAAAAAGGTAGTTGTAATAAAATCCTTTAAACCACCAGAAGCCAATTTATGTACAATAACTTACTGAACAAATAGATGACACTTTGCTACAGAGAAACTAGGTGGCAAAAAGTTCATTCAAATGAGGAGGATTTTAAAATATTTTATTTTCAAATCATTTAGCAGCTACCAAAAAAAAAAAAATTACTGAATTTAAAGTTAGAAGGCTGGCTTAAAATACCAGCCCTGATGGCCAGGTGCAGTGGCTCATGCCCAGCACTTTGGGAGGCTGAGGTGGGCAGATCACGAGGTCAGGAGATTGAGACCATCCTGGCTAACATGGTGAAACCCCATCTCTACTAAAAATACAAAACCAAAATTAGTTGGGTGTGGTGGCAGGTGCCTGTAGTCCCAGCTACCTGGGAGGCTGAGGCAGGAGAATGGCGTGAACCCAGGAGGCAGAGCTTGCAGAGAGCCGAGATTGCGCCACTGCACTCCAGCCTGGGCGACAGAGCGAGACTCTGTCTCAAAAAAAAAAAAACAAACCCCACACACAAAACAACAAGCAAGCAAACAAAAAACAACCAGCCCTGTCTTTAAGCATGTGATTTGAGGAAATTTCACTTAATTTCTAAAAATCTATGTCAGTTTGTCAGTCAAATGAAGAGCTGAATCATAATTTTGAAGATTCTTGTAGGTCTAATAGATTAAATAATTACATTAATGTCTGTTTTATATAGGAATAAGACATATACCTACAGACAAATGACAAATACATTAAAGCAAATAAATATAACCAATTTAAGAGTTTTAAATCACTTCAGATTTATTTAGGCTCACAATTAAACAGGACTATAGAAAATATAGAATCTGGAGACAGGATTCATGCCTGTTTTATTCACTGTATCTACAACATCATTAAGAGGCAGTCAAAAAACTCACAAATTTCTTCAAATATTATGTACCTAACTGTATTCCAAGGATTTTCCTAGCTGCTGGAAATAGAGTAGGGAAAAGGAAGTGAATGTCCCTGATATCATAAAACTTCAGGTCTAGCATGGCAAACTTTCAATATAAAAACACAGCCAGGTGCGGTGGCTCACGCCTGTAATCCAAGCACTTTGGCAGGCCGAGGCAGGAGGATCACCTGAGGTTGGGAGTTCGAGACCAACTTGATCAACATGGAGAAACCCTGTCTCTACTAAAAATACAAAATTAGTGGGCCATGGTGGCGCATGCCTGTAATCCCAGCTACTTGGGAGGCTGAGGCAGGAGAATTGCTTGAACCTGGGAGGCAGAGGTTGCAGTGAGCTGAGATCGCGCCAGTGCACTCCAGCCTCGGCAACAAGAGCAAAACTCCATCTCCAAAAAAAAAAAAAAAAACCCAGAAACAAACAAACAAAAAACACACAAAAAAGCCCCACAAAGATGAACGGAGTGATGTGTTGTGATGACATGAAATAGGACAGGGGATGGCGGAAAAAATGTTATCTGCTGAGACCTTACTAAAAGGAAGAAACAAGCCATTTGAATTTCTGGAGGAAGAGTATTCCAGACAGAGGAAATAACAAATTAGAAAGACCCTAAGGATACGAACAAGTTTGAAGCTTTCAAGAAAAGAAGACCACTCTTTGTGAAGTGAATGCTTTCCAGTTTATATTTCAGAGACAGACTTAGAAATCTTGTCATGTGGAAAGCGAAGTGAAGGAAGTATGCACAGAGAAGGTTCAATTAGCTCATCTTTGAACGTAAGTAAGGGAAAGCTTCTAGTTACCTATAAACGATCATTATCATCAATTTTATTATGAGTTAATGCAGCTAGGTATGGTGGCTCATGCCTGTAATCCCAGCACTTTGGGAGGCAGAGGTGGGTGGATTGCTTGAGCCCAGTTGTTTGAGACCAGCCTGGGAATGCAGAGAAACCCCATCTCTACAAAAAATACAAAAAAGTTAGCTGGGTGTAGTGGTGTGCACCTGTGGTCCCAATTACTTGGGAGGCTGAAGTGGAGGATCACCTGAGCCTGGGAGGTCAAAGATGCAGTAAGCTGAGATCGTGACACTGTACTCCAGTCTGGGTGACAGAGTGAGACCCTATCTCAAAAGACAAAAAAAAGTTAAATAACCTATCATTTGGCCTATAAAGTTACATTATGGAAAAGTGCATGATTTCTGATAGGCTTTTGAAACACAGGAAATAACTTACAGGTTCCCCA